GGGGGGGGGGGGGGGGGGGTTGATTCACCTAAATTTTTGCAAATCCAGTTCTTCTGGTGCCCGCATTTTTTATTTTGTTTTCTCGGGTTAAATATTTTGATCTTCTGAAACTTTGAATAGTTTAAACGCTCCATAATTGGAATTCCCATCCCTAGACTTATCGATATATTTTCTGCATTGTACTATTATGTATTATTGTATTAGTCAGTTTGATAAAAATCTTTAACTGGTTTTATAAAATGCATTGTTAATGTAATAGGGATTTGGCAGTACCTTAATAAACAACGTCAAACAAAGAACTAGACCGAGTCTCATTTGTGGAAAATTTCGAAATATAATTTCAAATATAATAGATTGTTTAGCGAGTTAAAATACAGAGTAAATGTGGTCTCATTTTCTTAAAGGTCGAAAAACCTTTGTTTTAGAACTTGTCTATGCAAGAGTAGTCCATTGCAAGAATTTTCGTCATTAGACATAAACATTCGGAGGAATAATGATGTCCCGGAAGAGAGTCGAACCCGCACGCCGATTTGTAAATATAACATATGTTTTAACACACACCCCCGACACACAACGCAAACACATTTCTTACTGAGATGAAATCTTGGCTATCTTACTGCCTGTTATACATTCTATATTTTTACAAAATAAATTTATTTAACGTCGTCAGTAAGTGACGTTCTTCTGTTGTATGTATGGATCAGATTTCTCTGAATGAGTTATTGAATATAGTGTCTCTGCCTGACGGCGTACAGAGGCGACTGCTTTCCTGTTGCTGGTTGCCATGACAACCCGAACGTAGGTTATAAATCAACGACTGGTAAAAGAACAGGCGAGCTAGAACACTCCATGATTTCAGACCCCGAGGTAACAACACAGAACACCATTATTTATTTGACTGCTATATGACGCAGATGTTGGAACTGCTAGTCTTCATTTTGAAACATCTCAATACTTCTCAGCACTGCTAAAAGATAACGCACATTAAATAAATGATATTGTTGTTTATTTTATTTCGATGCGATGGTTAACATTTAAATATTCTATAAATTATTTATTTTAATCCGTCTGATCACAATATTTAAAATTTCTTATAATTAAGATAATAAAATATCATTGATGTTCCATATCGATTGATCGATTTACATTTTCGGAACATTTACACAACATGTTTCGGTTTTTATAAAACCATCATCAGGTGTAAAATATATCTAAGAACTTAAAACTCAAGTATGATTTCTGTAGTTTTTTGGTGATGTTTCATTACGTTTGTTTTTCCATTTTTGGGCGAAGGTGTTGTTTTTCTTAAATGTTATTAGATGTATATATCGGCCAAAGATGTAGGAGTGAGTGTCCCGATATGTCCAAAAGTACTAGTGTCTTCGAATAGGTGTGGGTCTATAAATGTTTGTGACAGTGTTTGATTCTTACATATACGTCAATATTATATCGGCCATTATCCTTATATACCTGTCTCTCGAGATACGAATTTTCGATACAATGAATCATTTTGATTTACGTGTTTTTTTTCTATTTAAGAACATTATATTTTTAGACAATAAAAACACCTTCGTCTGGGGGCCGAGTGTCCGCTTCGTAAGGAACTGATGTACTAAGTAAACTTTTCAATTTCTTTACACTGTTAAATAAATTATAACTATCATAAAAATTAATACTGTTCGAAAATTTTTGTTTGTATAATATTATAACATGCTTGGGAAACATTAGGTGACTTTTCTGGGAGTCGGGAACCACTCAAAATGTCTTACATTGAAATTAATGGGAATTTTATTTTAGATTTACGAATTTTCATCTTATGGACAGTTTTTATCGAAATAATTACGTTTTTAAATCGATTAATTGTGTATGCGATTTCGAACGCGTTTCGGGATTTGGCTCTATACTCATTTTCGTGATATTGGTTTTCTTACTAACCAATTAGTGACGATGTTTGGCATCGAACCAGAGACAGTTTAAAGATTAGATTAGTATGCTAACCTTTTTTAATATTTTGTTTCTGGTCACGTACGTTTAGGTTTAAGTAAAAACTGGACACCTCCACAAATTCGTATGATTTTATGATACTCGCAAAAAGGACGAAGAAAGTTATTCATTCTTATTTATGCTATCCACTTAGGTGTTTGGATATGAATTGTCTGATTTTTAGCTGAGCAGTTTGATATGAATTTTTAATTAGGTATATTTGGAAAATTTGCCTGCAGGATTTCTAGACGTTAATAGCTACTGTTCCCAAATACAGCTGTTGGACGTCTGTTAACTTATTCTATCTTCCATACTGAAACCAGATTACAATGCATTTAGGAGTATCTAGTGTTTATTTGCATACATGCCTCCAGCATGTGACTGCCAATTAGTGCAGAGAACAGTTA